AGTTCTGAAGATGGATCGTGATGATGATTGCACAGCAATATTAATGTATTCAATACACTTAAAGTGTACTTAATGTATCTATGGGGCCTGATGACTTGTCCTGGCCGAGCACATGCTTGTGCTGTTGCACATCTTACCCCTCACTGTACAGTTGGGAAACTGGCCCAGAAAAAGACAAGTACTGGCCCAGACCACAGGAGGTAGTCAGGGTCCCGAAGACTAGACAAAGCTCCAGCTTCCTTGGCCAAGGCTCCACCCCTCCCCTCAGGTTTCCTTTGGTAATGAGAGGCATTAAAATCCTAGGGGGTTGCTGCCCACCCCTGTCCATATGGGGACATATTCCTCTCCTCATCATCGCATGTGCACAGGCACACCCAGTCACACTGATTTTTCATGTCGGGGCCGTGGAGGTGCAGTCAAGAAAGAGCGGACACCCGGGAAGTGACAAGAGGCAGGAGGGAGAGAGGTTGGAGGCAGCTCTCCCATGGGGCCGTAACATCCGTTCTCCTAGATACGTGCCCCGGGGGCCCAGAGATGGGCAGAGGAATCCCTATGGTTCCTAAGTTTCTACCTGTTCCAGACCCATCCCTGGCCCAGCCTGGGGAGCACAGGACTGGAGTCCTGCAGTCCAACTCTCTGGGCACCCAGAACTGTGATGAGCGCATCCTCCTCTTGTGTAGGCATTGGGAACAGAAGAGAAGATTCCAAGGGTTCCATGCACTCGCAACGTGTCTGTTGGACTAGGTTCTCTGTTGATGACCTACTGTACTCCGAAACACTGAGAAAATGCTTTCCACCCACTTGAGGTCATTTAGAACTAAGGAGGCTTGGGGGCTTGGGTGGATGAGAAGTTGGGATAAGGAAGAAGATGCCAGAGCACTAGACACCAAGCCTAGAGACGAGAGAGAAGACCAGTCCTTGTTCTCATCTGGAGGTCCAGAGGTCCTCATCTGGAGGCAGGGTCATTGTCCTGGTTGAGGTTGGATGCCTCAGGAATGAAGAGGACACCTGGTGGAGGAAAACAAGATGGGGGAAAAGGTAGGCTCCTGAGATTCCTCCCACTCCCTCGAAGGTGACGGGTCCTGCTCTTTTACCCCTAGGAGTCTGGGGAGCCTCTGTCTTGAGGACACCTGAAGAAAGGTTCTTTTCTGTTTGGTGGCCTTTTGGCGAGGGCTGCAGTGCTAGTACTTGCCACCAGGGGACGAGCAGCCACTTGTGTCAGGGGTGGCCAGTGAGTTTTTGTTTTTATTTTTTTCCGTTGTATTGAGATATACTTGATATACAGCACTCTGCAAGTTAACATTGCTGTGTGGTATATTTGAAAGTTGCTAAGAGAGTGGATCCTAAAACTTCTCATCACCATGAAAAAACCTTTTATTTTTGTTTAGTGATTGATGTTAAGTAAACTTATTTTGGTAACCATCACATGGTTATTACATAATATATATTACATATTACATACATATTACATAATATATATATACATCGAGTCCTGCTGTTGTAAACCTGGAATTTACATGGTGTCCACTGAACTTTACTTGATTCCTGGAGCAGCGAAGAGTCAACCAGAGGTCTTTCTGGCTGTCCCCCTGCCTCAGAAACAACTTGTACCTCCTATTACTAGTGTTCGTCTCTACAATGAAAGTTGGTCAAAAGCAGGGGGAGGGGTGCAAGATCTTCCCATGTACTCACTCAGCAGCTGTGCACTGAGCACTCAACCTGTGCCAGGTGCCCTGGTGGGCAGAAGTGCAGGATGAAAATGACCAAGTGGTCAGGAGCTCACAGTCTAGAGGGGAAATGGACAAAAGCAAAGACATGAGCAAGAAAAGAAAAAGTGCTGTAGAGAAACACAGCAGTGGGCTGTGAGGGAGGGCTGGGCGTCACTGAGTAGGAGGGTCTGAAAGGCCTCAATAGGGTGACATTTGCTGGGACCAGAATGACAAGAGGGAGCCAGCCCTTCAAGGGTCTGGGAGCAGTGTGTCAGGGAGATGGCAACACTGGTCCTGAGTCTCACAGGCAGAAGTGAGTTTGGCCAGAGGAGGTTAGAAAGGTGGCCAGTGCAGCTGGAGGGAGGCTGGGAGGAGAGAACAGGAGCTGGGGTGGAAGGTAGGGCCAGGACCTGGTAGGCTGTGTCAGTTACCTTTCCCTCTCTGACTTCATTGCCCCTAACCTTGCATTTCAAAACTACAAATGTTGACTATCTCACAATTTGTGTGGATCAGCAATCCGGCATGTTTTAGCTGGGTGCCTCTGCCTCAGTGAGTTTAACAGATTGGGACTGTGGCCTCAACTGAGGCTTGACTGGGGGAGGACTGGCCCCCAAGTTCACTGTCAGCCTTCAGGGTTCAGTTTGGACTGAGAGCCTGTGTTTCTGTCTGTCTGTTGGCCTGGGCACCCCCATGCTTCTCTCCTTGATGGGCCTCCGCACTGGGCAGCCCCACACACTGGTATTTGATTCCTCAGTTACAGGGATTCGACAGAGTGAGAGAGAGAGAGATGGAACATGAAAGAGGAAGTAAGAGGAAGTGAGACACTTTTTTAGTTAAAATTTAGACAAGATATCCCATCACTTTGGCTGTTATTATGTTCAGAAGCCAGTTACTAACTACTTAGTGGTTCCACGGGGATGGCTATACCATGGGTGGGGCTCACTGGGTACCACTGTGGAGGCTGCCCACCTCATAGGCCAAGATGAGGCACTTGGGTCTCATTCTCCATAAAACAGTAAACAATTGAATGGTTTTATGCCACAGGATGGCAATATTTAAATTTCCATTAGTTTCAACCCCCTCATGATGCTGACCTGAAAATGAGGCCAAGTTGGAAGTGACTGTTCCAATATCATATTGCTAGCACCTAGGCCTGTTTTGAGTGGTGTTCTGTGCTACATATCACCCCTTCTTATTATTCTTCCATCTCTAAGTTTAGGTACATGTGACACTAGCCCACAGGGTTAATAGATATTATGTCATATACACCGGGTTACATCCCCAGGAAGTAGATTCTGGCTTGATCCTCATGGTGCAGGCTTGGAGACTGGGGAGGACCTGAGTGGCACAAGGACTTTCCCAGGATGCAGAACTGGTAAGAAAAAGAAGGTCTGCATTCATCTCTGTCTCCTCAAAGCTAGGACCCGACTTAGGTTTCCAGGGAGTTGTGGCTATGGCTGTGTATGCTCCTTGTGTACAGTTCAGGAGATGATATGGGGGAGGAGGCTGAGCGGCCCGGGCCCAGGGGGCAGCTCTGGACAAGTCTGATTGAGGGAAGGGGCCCAGGTAAAGGAATATTGAAAAATAATCTACTTCCTTGGTCATAGATCTCGACAGATCTTAGAACTCTGGTAACGAGGCACCCACAGGCCCCCATCCAGCTTACTTGATTGGAGACAGTCAACAGGCAAAAATGTTTCGTTGTTGTATCCCAACTTTTGGAGAATCTGGACTCAAAAAAGCCCAGAAAGAGAATCTTTTTGGCGTTGCCGACGTTGGCTCAGCCTTCATCCCCGACGCCTCTGGGCGTCTGGCAGGAGGCAGTGCCGGCCAGGACACAATTGTGATCCCACCTGAGCAGCCCTGCACCCCTTGCCCCTCATCATGTGTGTGTGTCTGTGTGTGTCTGTGAGGAGGGGGGAAGGCAGGGCATGAGGGGCAGGTCATTCCTGGGCAGGAGCTTGTGGTTAGGTGTCGGAAGCCTGGTGGGTCTGTCATTTCCATACCCCAGGTCATGGCTGGCAGCATGAGAATGTGAGCGCCTCTACTCATGTGTTACCGAGCCATAGAGGTTTCGTCTCCTTCCCTTCCTGACCACAGTTCTTTGCAGGGATGTCCCTCTGTGCCTGAACAGAGGAGCAGACTTTCTCTTGGGGGTTGACCCCAGTGGCAGTGTGCAGCCAGCCCCTGATTCCTTCTGGCCCAGCTCCCAGGCAGTGTTTGCAGAACTCCTCTCAGGAGGTCGTCGAGGAGATGCCCAATGGTTTCAGCTCCACCAACTCACTAGACAAGGGGCAGGTGCACGAGGCCACCCACACCATCCAGTGCTGCTCTGAGGTGAGAGCAGGAGCTGAGGGTCTCCACACTCAGGACCTTGAGATGATGGGGTTGGACCAGAACTTGGGTGGGACCAGACTGGGGCTGTCCCTTTTTCAAGCTAAAGGGGATGTACATGCAGGTAACCTTGCCTGATTCAGAGCTGAGCTGCCATGACCCTCTTACCCTTGCCCAGTGTGAGCTTCTGGAGGCCACTGAGGCAGAGCCAGAGTGTAAAGGGGACCACAGCCTCGGTACTCCTGGAAGGGAAGTGGGATCATTTCTGTGTTTAGAAGGACATATGGAAAGTTAGCTAGATGGGTGAATCTTTCTCTTTATCCTGCTCCAGCGCCAGCTACAGAGCTCCAGCCAGCGGCAGAAGCAGAGCAGTGGGCAGTGGTGGAGGTAGAGCTGGCTCCAGCTCTGTTGACATCACCCCCTCTAGTGCTGGAGTCGGCGCCCCCTCCCTCAGCAGTGTTGGAGCTGGAGCAAGGGCCAACATCGGCTGCAGCAGGAGTGGGAGCTGCTGAGCTGGAGTCACCTGGACCATCATTTCTAGTGGGAAGTCCATCTCCACCTGTGCTTGTTAAGGAGGGTGAGAGGAAGCCTAACCTCACAGCCTTCCCTCCTAAGCTGGTGGTGGAACAGTTGACCATGATGGATGTGGTGAGCAGCTGGGCTCTCAGGGCGGAGGGGCAGGCCTTCCCTCTGCCATCAGTGCCCCAGACCTGATCTAGACTCCTATGACCTGGGCCCAAATCCCGGCTCCACTGCTTACCAAGCGTACTACCTTGGCAACTTTCTGAACCCCTAAGATATTCCTGTCCACCTGCAGACCGTAGAGGTGGACATTAAGAGGACCTGTTGCAAGGAGTGGCTGTGCCCAACTCCATGAGGTAGAAGAGATGGAAAGCTGGGCAGGGCCTGGTCTGTCAGTAAGGAGGGCAACTCACTATGTGCAGCCAGATCCCTGCTGGCCCAACCGTCTGCTCAGGAGGCTCAAGAGCCTCAGGACTTATTAGACACCTGATGTGTACTTCACTACAAGGGAGACAGACAAAGACCATGGTTGTAGCTGCCATGGGGGAATGTGCATCAGAATGGGGAGTGGGACCAGAGCGGGTATCAGGGTGGTGGAAGATGCCCCCTTGGTATGAGCCAAGTTGAGCCACCGTCTGGAGCTTGGAGTTAGCCAGGACAGAGTGGGTGCAAATACCTTTCTCCCTTCCCTGCCAGTACTGGGTCCTGGGTCATCCTGTGCTGGGTGTCCTCGGTGCACAGGGAAGAAAACCCAGGGACTCTCACAAGGCTCAGGCCACATCCTGAGCTTTCTGAGCTCCAGCTCTAAACTGTGACCCCTGTGTGGGACTTTGGGGGCTGTGGACACAGACCTGGGGTGTGGCAGGGCT